GTCCGTGAAGCAATTTTTGCGGCCTTTAATACCGTTACACCGGACATGGTGCACCATGCAACGTGCAATATTGTTTGAAGGGCCTCAACTCTGCTTACGAAAGAAAGAACAACATTTTGAACAATTTTTGTCTTAAATAATGAAAGTGGATTAAGCTTACCGGGGAAATCACTATAAAAAGAAAATGCACTATGCTATCTACTGCAAGGTGATGAAGAAATAATAGCACGCTGCCACGATAAATATTACGAGAAACTAAATTATCTTTCGACGTACGATCCTGTGTCGCACGCTATTCGCTGCATCACTTTTACATACGCATATTTGCGTAATTTATGTAACCAACGCGGTGACATTGTTTCGGCGTCGAATCAGTACACGAGGATATCTTACGCGTATATAAATATGTATTAATATGTTATGCGTCGCTGTGTCTCGTAGCTACAGGCAGAGAAACAGCAAGCTGCGATTCACGAATGTCACCATCGTGCGCTGGTCGAAGATATTTTTCTTTCTACATGTTCGGCCTACCACTTCCCGTGCACTCATTAGCTTAGACAAAATAATTAATTTCTCGTTAACTATTACGAATTTTGTAAAACAGTACATGACTTTTCTATTCAGTTTAACTGATTCTACCTTCACATGAGCGCACTTAAAAAGGAAACGGACACCCTGTATACGAGGTCTGTTCAAAAAGTTTCGCGAATTTTGAATTTTCATGGGTTACATATATTCGATTTTCGATTTTTTGTGGCGTTATGTTGGTACTCATGTCCCTCACTTATGCCGACAAGTTCGGCCATTTTGAATATTCAGTTTATCTTTGACAGCTGTTTTGCTTGGACTTGTTTTGGCTCGTCTTCGATTTTTGCTTATTCCAAAAAATGAATCAAAGAATTTGTATTAAATTTGGTGTGAAAAAAAAAAATTACNGAGTCGCCGCGAAATTCGTACCAACGCCCCTGCTCACACACCGTTGCTTGTGCGCGAATTTTTGGCCAAAAACAACACACTAATGATGCCGCAGCCACCGTATTCCCCAGACCTGGCCCCCTGTGACTTTTTCTTGTTCCCGAAACTGAAGAGGCACATGAAAGGACGACGCTACGCTACGATTGAGGAGATAAAGACGGCATCGAAGGAGGAGCTGAACAAGATCACAAAAAATGATTTTTTGAAGTGCTTCGAGGATTGGAAAAAACGTTGGCACAAGTGTATAATATCTGATGGGGATTACTTTAAAGGAGACAAAATAGATATTCATGAATAAATAAATAATTTTTAAAAAAATAAAAAATTTGCGATACTTTTTGAACAGACCCTGTACATAGATATTCAGTAAAAAAATAGCTACTCATTTTAAGCAGAAATAAAGAGTATTACATCAGTTACGCACGCTACTTCAGTTTACGACTAATTTCGACAAATATTGGAATTTATATTTAAAACTTCACGAATATATTCTTAAGGTTTCAAATTTCTGAAATATGTAAAAAAATTGATTTTTCAACCCAATACCCCAGGTCGAAAACACTTTTAAGAATTTTTCATCATTAAAGTTTATTACTTCTTTGTTGAAATGGAATTTAGATACACTAATTAATTTGTACGAACGCAGATATTTTAATAGTAGAACCGTGACAACATGGGTCCTTTTTAAAACAGCGGAGAATCACTTTAAATCTACCTCTTGCTTTGTAATTATTCTGGTTTGTGGATTTTTCTAAACTTTATGATATTGTTCTGTTATTTTATAAAAAAGAAAGCTTCTCAATGATAAAAATCCAATAAAACGAGAGAACAGAGTCAACATTTGGATAAAAAATCATCCAGCCGCGGCTTTAAAGTTTTAGTATTAATTAGGAATTGGAGAAATAAGAGAATATGGGTAATAAAAGTAATCCTTTGCTTACATTTTTCGCGTACCATGACCGGTTACTTTTGATCAAAATAACCGTTTGATCATATTGTATTAGGCTCTCGTAATATATAATCAAGGATTAAAAAAAGATCAATAAGGGCTAAATATGATTATTAAGTGCGAATATATTTTTAATTTGGAAGGATAAATATGTTAGAATTTTTCCTAATTTTCTTGATAACTGTTCGAATTGTACACTCGCACTCAATTTTCCGAACAAGACTTATTATTCTTTTCCACAGATACATTTTTTTAAAAGCTTTCTCTCTCTCTCTCTCTCTCTCTCTCTCTCTCTCTCTCTCTCTCTATTTATTTAATTGTCCTAAATTGTATCTCCGTCCTAATAGTACGGATCTTCATAGGCATCCCAAAACTTTACTCAGTCGGCCCGATCGAACCTATGGAAGTGGGTAAAAAGTAACATAAAATAACATAGAATAAGTTATCCAAGTCGAATATATTTATTAGGTCGTTCCAAAAGTCCCGACTATCCTTGCCATTCATCGCGTCTGGGACCATTTTGCTCGGCAGTGCTGAGGCTGTTGGATGAAGCTCGTTTAAGAGATGGCGCTTTGCTCTTTCAAGTACGGGTTGACAAGCAGAGTAGGCGATGATGGACAGAGTAGTGCGGATATGGACAACCGAAAACTTCATTTGCGCAATGTAATACTTTTTTCGTTTTTGGAAGGGAAACATCATAGTACAGAATAACGCGTGAAAATTACGACGTTTACGTGGAGGATACTATGTCAAATTAAACAGTCAGCCGATGGTTCGTGCGATTTCGTAATGGTGATTTCGAACTCAAAGATGCCCCACGGTCTGGAAGACTTTCGACGTCATTCGAGGACCGTCTGAAGCAAGCAGTTGATGAAAACCCTCGCAGAAATATGCTAGAACTTTTACAGAACTTCAATGTTCCCAAACATACTCCATTTGTGACGTATGAATTATGTGACTCGCCTCGATATCTGAATTTCTCATGCATTGACTAAGCATAACCCTTTCGCTTGTGTTAACGCATGCGACGCGCTTTATGAAAAAGTTCCAAAAATCTTTTTTTGAAGCGGTTGATTACTAATGCATTAAAAAATAAATATTCCATCGTAGTATATCAAGGGAACAATCATGGGTAAAATCAATTGAACCTACTCAATAACCTTAAAGGGAGAGCTGCACTGAAAGAAAATCGTGCTTTGTATCTGGTAGAGTTGCAAGGATATTGTCTACTCCGAGCTCTTTCCAGAGAACCACACTATCGATTCCAACGAATATTGCACACAATTATCAGATCTGAGGAAAGTTTTTGCCATGAAGTATCCAGAACTACTGAATAGGAAAGGCGTCGTCTTTCAATATGATAACGCAAGGTCATATATAAATTTCATTGGCAGTCCACAAAAGACTCATTGAGTATGGAATGTTTTGTCCCACTTTCCATATTCACTAGATATTTCTGGTTATCACAATCCTATTAATCACCTTTTCTAGGAACCGCAGTATTCCGAGGAATATATTTTAATTCATTTAAAGAGATTAAAAGCCACCTGAAGGCATTCAAGGGAAAACTCAAGTCAATTTACAAGTGCGAAATTTTTTCTTTGCTCAAAAGATGACAAAATGTAATAGATCAAAATGGACAATACATCATAGATTAATTGTTGGTGGAACAATGTTAATAAGTTTTTGTTTTAGTCTCAAAAATTCTTAAAACTTTTCGGATTATATATTAAAACCGAAGAGAGTAAAACCTAGATTATGCGACACTCCGTACATATTCTAAAAATGGAAAGTAAAAAAATTATATTTTTAAATATTAATAAAGTATTTAAAAGTGCATTAAGTATAGCATTAAATATGCATTTATGAAGCTTCAGTAAAATAACACAGGCCAACAAAATTTGACGAAATTCCAGACCCAGAGACTAGACCTAACATACCCGAAGGATATTGATGCGCTGAATCCGAATCCAAGCTCAGAATTGCTCATATACGTCTGGTTTTCGAGATATCCTAATCTAAAAGTGGAAAAAACGCGTTTTTTTGCTGTTTTTGAGGTTATGTAACGGAACAAGAAAAATATTTATCAAGAAACGTAGTGTGATAACTGAAGGTACTACCCTTTCCCTTTTAAACATATTTGGGTTTTTTCAAATATCTATTTTTTTCATCAAAATATCGCAATTTGAAATTTCACAATTTAAGGTATTAACCCATCTACAAAAAAAATCGAAAAAATTCTGGCCGGGACCAGACCACGTTGATCTTATGTTTTCGAGGTCGCTGATTCCAAATCCGAGGTGCGTTTCACCCCATCAGGTCAGGGTTTTTCGTAAACTCAAAAAGCAACCCCTAAAAACCACCCCTACCAAATCACAAGTAGGCTAATTCACCTGACCCTGGGAGTTGCGGACTTAGTCGATTATTTCTTTTGAAACAAGTCCTATTTTTCTTAAAATTGGATCCCACAATACAAGCGTGTTAACCTATCGACTTCTAACCCACGTAACCCCTATCTACCTACCCCTAACCTCTAGAAACTATCCCTCCCAAACCACAAGCAGGCTAACCCAACTGACTTTGAAAACAGCAAGTTAAATCGCTTATTTTTCTTTAAACAAACAAATTCCAAACTAACAAGTTGCCACACCTACTTAAGCCAGGAAGCAGCCAGTTTGATGACTTATTTTTTTTATATAAGCAAATTCCAAACCAACAAACTCCCACAATTGCAATTTCTCTATTATATTTATCCGTGTTAGAGATCACGCTTGAGTGGTGGGCTAATGGTAGAATGTGTAGATGATATTATTTGTTTTATGGTATATATCTATCCGTGTTAGAGATCACGTTTAAGTGGTGGGCTAACGGATACATTTCGTGTAGATCGTGGTTTTTCTACATAGTGAGTTTTGAATTTTTGTGTAGCTGTAATTAAAAGTAGAAGAATGAGTTCAAGAAATCCTTGCGCTAATAAACTTAATACGTTTTGTTATATTTGTGGAAAGTATGAAACCGTACGTGACAGTCGATCAATTAATGACTCGATAAAATCCTTATACGTTAAATGTTATAGGACGTCAATGAAAAACTTGGATAAGCCATGGGTACCAACATCAATTTGTAATACTTGTAGATTGCATTTGTTAAATTGGGAAAATAAAAGTACGAAGGGTCAAAGTGTTATTCAACCAACCATTTGGCATGAGCCCAAGGATCACGATACAGATTGTTACTTTTGTTTATGTCAAACAAAGGGCTTTTCTAAACAATATTTGAACAAAATCATTTACCCTAAGGTAAAGAGTGTAACACCAGCTAAAATTGGTACTGTAAGTCATTCTGAAAACATAGTTGTCCTATCAACTCACGAATCAATGGATACTGATGAGATCGATTCAACTGAAGATGTTTATTGTGAAGACAGTGATGGTCATGAAGGTCCCAAATTTTTTGACCAAGCTGGATTAGACGATTTTATACGTGACCTTAATCTTCCAAAAGATAAAGCTGAGCTTTGTGCTTCAAGACTCAAAGAAAGGAATTTATTATTACCTGGCACTAAAGTAACGGTCTACAGAAAAAGAGGAGAGCAGTTTATTAAGTACTTTTTAATGGAAAATGGGCTTGTCTATTGTAACGATATAGAAGGACTAATAAATTTATATAAAATAGATTTATATAAGCCGGAGGACTGGCGTTTTTTCATAGATTCATCCACAATAAGTCTAAAAGCAGTATTATTACACAACGGAAATAAGTACGCTGCAATTCCAGTAGGTCACTCAATTACACTGAAAGAATCTTATGACAGTTTCGAATTTCTGCTGGAAAAACTAAAATACAATACTCATAATTGGCTTATTTGCGGAGACTTCAAAATGATAAATCTCGCAGTTGGTTTACGATCGGGAAACACTAAATACCCTTGTTTTCTTTGCCTTTGGGATAGTCGTGCTAAGGATGAACATTGAATAACGGAGAAATGGCCAGAAAGACTAGAGTGGAATGTTGGTTATTATAACGTTGCTTATGAAAGTCTCGTGGATAGAAACCGAGTATTATTGCCACCACTCCACATAAAACTAGGTTTAATGAAATAGTATGCGAAAGCGTTAAGTACCGAAGGTAAATATTTCAATTATATCAGATCTACATTCCCGCATTTAAGTGATGCTAAAGTTAAGGAAGGTGGTTTTGTAGGGCCCGACATAAGAAAGCTTATGAAAGATGATGAGTTTATCAAGACCATGATATCTATTGAAAAGGATGCTTGGTTGAGTTTCAAAGATGTAGTAAAGGAATTTTTAGGGAACAACCGAGATCTACAGTTTAGAACTATTGTGTCTACAATGTTACAGAATTTTAAACGATTAGGTTGTTTGATGAGTATCAAAATACATTTTCATAAATGTTATTTGGACTATTTCCCGAATAATGTCGGAGCATTCAGCGAAGAATTGGGCGAATGTTTCCATCAAGATTTTCATTAAAAGGAGCAATATTATCAAGGTCGATGGGATGAAAAAATGATAGCAGACTATTGCTGGTCATTAAAAAGAGAAGATAATGACCCTACTCGTCATAAACGAAAGTCTCTTCAACGATTCTTTAATATGAAGCGCGAATGTTTTCATAAAAGAAAGAGCAATTAATCTTGCCTTGATTGGCTGGACAATGCCAAGTTTTGCCTTGATTGGATGGACAATGCCAAGTCTTGCCTTGATTGGCTGGGCAATCGCAAGTCTTGCCTTAACTGGCTGGGCGATCGCAAGTCTTGCCTTAACTGGCTGGACAATGCCAAGTCTTGCCTTGATTGGCTGGGCAATCGCAAGTCTTGCCTTCACTGCCTGGGCAATCTCAAGTCTTGCCTTAACTGGCTGATCATCCGATTTATAAAAAAATAAGACTTGTTTCAAAAAAAATAATCGACTAAGCTCGCTACTCCCACGGTCAGGTGGGTTAGCCTGCTTGTGGTTTGGTAGGGGTGGTTTTTAGGGGTTGTTTTTTGAGTTTACGAAAAACCCTGACCTGATGGGGTGAAACGGACCTCGGATTCGGAATCAGCGACCTCAAAAACATAAGATCAACGTAGTCTGGTCCCGGCCAGAATTTTTTCGATTTTTTTTGTGAATGGGTTAATACTCTAAATTGTGAAAATTCAAATTGCGATATTTTGGTGAAAAAAATAGATATTAAAAAAAATCCAAATAGGTTTGAAAGAGAAAGGTTAGTATTTTCAGTTATTACACTACGTTTTTTGATAAACATTTTTCCTGTTCCGTTACATAACCTCAAAAACAGCAAAAAACGCGTTTTTAGTTTAGGATATCTCAAAAACCAAACGTATATGAGCAATTCTAAGCTCGGATTCGGATTCAGCGCATCAATATCCTTCGGGTATGTTAAGTCTGGTCTCTGGGTAAAAAATTTGTCGGCCTGTGTAATCAATCTTATTACAAAGATACATAACATTTAACCTAAATACACATACTTCAAAGATTACATTCTTTATTTACCTTTCACATCCATTAGCAATAATGATTCATTTTTTTTTAATCGAATCTCATTATTGTCACATATTGAAAAAAATATTTTCAATGAACCGTTATTACTTATTGGCCGTTATAGTTTATAGTTTTAATCAATCTTTTAATTACTTGTAGCAAATTCGACCGCTATTTGAAAATCGCATTAGTAAAATTCATATACTACGAGGGTTGATCTAGAAATAAGGTTCCCATCAATTTTACAAATAGACAACATTGTTTATTCTCATAGAAATTTACATCGTTGGAAAGATGAAACTTTGCTCTATTTTTCTACATAATCGCCATCTTTTTCTACGCATTTTTGTAGTCGGTGCTCCAATTTCTGTATCCCAATGTCGTAGAACTCCGCCGCCAACCCGTTGAGGAAGCGTTTCACCCCTTCTTTGACTTCATCGTTGCTCCGGAAGCGTTGGCCACCCAAGTGTTCCTTTAACTTGGGGAACAAGTGATAATCACTAGGCGCGAGGTCCGGACTGTAAGGTGGGTGGGGCATGACAGTCCACCCTAAGTGTGTCAAAAGTTCCTGGATTTGAAGGGAGACGTGAGGTCGTGCGTTGTCGTAAAGCAGCGTTACACCAGCTGTCAGTCATCCTCGCCGGCGGTTCAGGATAGCTCGCCTGAGTTTTCTCAGTGTTGCACGGAGCGACGATGAAGTCAAAGAAGAGGTGAAACGCTTCCTCAACGGATTGGCGGCAGAGTTCTACGACATTGGGATACAGAAATTGGAGCACCGTCTACAAAAATTTGTAGAAAAAGATGTCGATTATGTAGAAAAATAGAGCAAAGTTTCATCTTTCCAACGATGTAAATTTCTATGAGAATAAACAATGTTGTCTATTTATAAAATTGATGGGAACCTTATTTCTGGATCAACCCTCGTAGATCCTAGATACCATAAAAATTGCTGTTCCGACCTATCTCGCAAATAGGGTTAATAAAGTTGACTCCGAATATATTTTATTTTTATTTTTGAAACGTATAAACTCTATGCATATAATATGTTACCAAAACTTTTTTAAACGATGTTGAGTTAACTTCGCTATTCAAAGTAAAATTTTAGAACGTAGTCCTATCGGTCAATTTTTTTCACTTATTTAGGATCTTACAAAGATACTTGCTGCATTTTATCTGGAATTGATGAAGTTTGAGATAGAGAGGGAGTCGGTTCATTAAAGGTTGCCATCCTTTCTTTCTAAGAGTTTTGCAAGGCATTTCGTATCTAATAAAAATATATCTTCTGAGAATTTTAATAAAAACAAATTCTCCTGTCAGATACGGTATGCGTTAAGGAATTTATCGGGAACAAGTATAATAACCTTTTATCCTTTAATCATATACATCTCATTGTACGAATACCGACGTAAGGAATTACCTGGAAACCCAAGCCGCATGAACGCGTGCCCCGGTCGCCACGAAAAGTCGTCTGTCGTTATGTCCCCACGTCAATGCCGACACCGGACACTACACAGGTCGTATGGAAAATCGTAAAATAAATTAACCAATCATAGCAAGTCAAGGGTAGATCGTTTTTCCTGTCTGACGTACTTGTGTATACGGAATCACTGTTGTGTATACTAGGGTACCATTGACCGAGTAAAATTTCAGTAGATTCGTATATTCCTGCGAATTACTTTGGAGAACGTCGGATTCCTTTGTGCCAGCGATGGCCAACAGTTTTCTAGAGTTGCTCCATTCGGCATGCAAAGGTGTCTTCAGTTTGCTGCGTATTGTGATCGGCGACACGTCGTCGAACGATCGTAACATGACGATATTGCCGTCAGCGAGACAGACAGCCAACACATAACTTCGATCATCTGTGCTTGCACATATATGTAAATATATTAAAGCGTTTCAATAGTTCACTCTAAGTTTGACATTAGTACTCTGTGTTCTCCTTAAAAACTGCGATTAATACCTTTCTGAGACCGGTCGCTCGTTACGTCGTCATCTCCTTCTTCCATTGTGAATTTCTCGGCACTCCAAGCCATCGATGTAACGCCAGCCCCCAGTTGTATTTCAGACACCATAGCCCCGTGAACGTCCATCACGATTAATTGGCCAGCAGTTGTCCCGAAATAGACCTTTGTTCACAGACAGTATTAAAAACGGGTAAAATAATTTTATTAATATTATCTTTAACGGGCTTCCGCTGTGGAAAAATGTCAAATCTTTAATTAACTAAAAATATTTTCATAGATAATGAAAGAATAAGTTTTCAGACAGCAAAGACGCGTCAAAAGGATGGTACATTATGGTCGTGAGAGAACCAAATAGGCATCATAAGTCGAGTCTTAAAGAACTTAAAAGCGACGTCAATATATTACATCCATTAGACATCATTTTGTGACGCTCAAACTAACAAGAAAAATAGGACTAATGTAGGACGAAATCGCTGATTATTTGATGTTCACACTATAGAATTTATTCAAATTGAAGTGATTTAAATACATTCACATGTACACAAATTAATTTTTGATCATTTTATTTAAATAATTAAAAAATATTCTGTCGTTTTCTTTTTTGCGTCACTGCGTTTCCTCATTTTATACATATGTCTTTCAGTTTCGTCTCCATAACGATTCATCGATGTTAGTATAAAATCCAACTTATATATTTTGTGTGTATGCGTGTGTAATCCATAAAACAAAAAAATATAAATATATACGAAGATGGATCCAATATAAACGAGCCTTTTGCAAAAAAAAACCATATATTTTTCAAAATCAAAAAAACCAAAATTTATTATTTACCTTTTTCTTATTCATCTACATAGTTCCCCATCTATACACTTTCTCCAACGGTCTGGTAATTTTTTAATCCCGGTATCATAAAAAGTTCGCGGACGTGTATCAAACCAATTGCACACGAACTGCTGCACCTCCTCGTTCGTTGCGAAGCGCTGTCCACCGGGGGCTTTCTTGAGTGGCCCAAACATATGGAAGTTGCATGGTGACATGTCTGGGATGTAGGGTGGATATTCTAGGACAGTCCAGTGAATATCCACCCTACATCCCAGACCAATTTTTGTTGTGTTACTGCTGCGGTGTGGGGTCTGGCGTTGTCATGGAGAAGCAACATACTTTTGATCAGAATGCCTTTTTGACCGATAGGCAGCTCGAACTTGGCTAAGAAGATCACAATAATAGGCAGCATTAATGGTTCGACGTTCTTGAAGAAAATCGACCAGCAGAACGCCTTTACAGTCCCAGAAAACTGTGGCCAAGACCTTCAGACAACCACCTTTTCGCATTCCCCGGTGCACCCTCGCCAGTCTTCCGCCACTCTATACTGGCCCTCTTCGATGCAGAGGTGTAATGATGGACCAAAGTCTCATCGCATGTGACAATTTTTTTTTAAAAAGCGTCACCTTCCCTCTCGTACCTTGTTAGGAGACTCGGAGAAATTTCAAACCGCACAGCTTTCTGCTCTGCATTAAGCAACTTTGGAACCTAACGAGCCGTCACTTTTCAAAATCCCAACTTATTTCAAATGATTGATTGCACACTTCCATAGCTGGTCTGAAGTTCCCGAGAGATTTCAAGAACAGTTAAGTGCCGATCGCCTTCGATGAGTTCTCGAATAGCTTTGGTGTTCGGCGCTATGATGCTGGTACGGGGACGGCGCGGGTGGATAATGTTTTCAACACGCTCCCGTCCTTTCTTAAATTCGTTACACCATTGCTTCACCCGGGCCCATGAATGCGTTCTTTCCCCGAACTGTGGGAGTAACCGGCGTAGAATTTCAGCAGCATTTACATTTTCGTTGACGAGAAACTTAATAATAACACGTTGTGCAACTGCGGGTGTACCTCTTTCTCGCTCATTGTGATTGCTGCTGAGAATAAAAAGCACGGCGCGCCAACGTTATTACTGCCTTCCACATGACCCCCTCCACTGTATAAAACGTGTAGATCCCTCACGCTGCCGACGAGCGCGCAATTTAAAAAAGCTCGTTTATATTTGATCCACTCTACAACTTTTATATATATATATATATATATATATATATATATGTGTGTGTGTGTGTGTGTGTGTGTGTGTGTGTGTGCATATTAGGGTGGTTTGATAAATAACTTGATTTTATATTAAAGATAACAATTTGAGATTTTTAGCATAGTTTCTTTTCGATATAGTCCCCTTGAAGTTCAACGCACTTGCCCCAACGTTCTTCCAAGTTCGATTCCTTCGCGGAAATATGTTTCTTCGAGACTCTCCAAATAATCGTTTACCTCCTGTTTGACCTCTCTATTTGACCCAAATTTTTGTACAGCCAGGAATGTGAGTTTCGGGAACAGATAGAATCCGAAGGAGCAAGATCGGATAAATAATCTAAATGCGGAAGTTCAAATTGCAATTCGGTCAATTTTTGTTCAACGAGACGGTTTGAATATGCTGATGCGTTGTCATGGTGAAACAACACCTTTTTCTTGTCGAATTCTTTTCTTGTCTATTCCTGGATGTTACTCCGCGATCGCTGTCTTTCATCGGTCCAAAAATGATGTATAATATTCTCCAGTAATGGTTTCCCCTTCTCGAGGTAGTCAATCAGAAGAATTCTTTTCGCATCCCAAAAAACTGACACCATCATCTTTCCAACGGATGGAACACACTTCGTCTTTTTTGGAACCGATTCGCTTCATGCGGTCCATTGTTTCGACTACTGTTTTGTTTCCGGGATATAGTGGTGAATCCAATTTTTGTCCATGTTTACCAAACGCCACAAAAACTTAAATACTTAAAAACAGTCAGCTGATGTTCGCATGCGAATTCGTCTTTGTTCTGTTGTGAGCAAATGCAGCACCCATTTTGCGCTAAATTTTTTCATGTGCAATTCATTATGCAAAATGAAGTAAACCCGCTCAGTTGAGATGCCTGTGGCCTCTGCTAATTCGCGCACTATCACTCATCTGTCGGCCAAAAACATATCATGGACTTTATTGATGATTTCTAGCATTATAGCTGATTTCCATGCTACAGGACATAGTGCATCTTTGATGCTTGTTCTGATACGCTTGAATTCATTTATCCAAAGTCAAACGATTTCGTAGGAAGAGCATGAGTCACCCAATGTGAAAAATCCTCTCATGAATTTCCTCGGTTGTTTTCGCTTCCAGGAAATGAATCGAATCACACCACGAATTCCAATTTTATCAATTTTTCACTATTACTCGTAACACTTTCGTTTAAGCAACTGTCAAACAGCAAATTACTGTCAGAATGACTTGTGACCATAGAATATTCGTCCATAGGAAAGACTTTTTGATTACATATACAGATGTCGCTGTTGCTCTTTATTAGTATGCAATCCAAGTTACTTATGAAACCATTCTTGTATATGTATGTATATAAATCATATGTATATATATATATAAATTTATATACAGGATATAACAAAAAAGTCTGGACATTAGAATATTTTCAAACGTATTTTATCAAAAAATGTTGCAGATAAAAGTTGTATGGTTTCGAAAGAACCATAAAATAGCGTTAACAGTTTGTCCCTGAATAGTCGTTTGAAAGTCACATGAAGATCACCTTCAATTTCTTAAATAGAATATCTTATTTTTCATTGCATATTCAAATATTTTATCCCAAGGGCTTTCCATAGAAATAAACTTATATATACCTTTTGGCCAAAAACTATTCGAAATATGCGCTGCTAAAGTTTATTGTCAGAAATTAGCGTCATCTTAGTTTCACCACGTGTGAATGTAGCACGGTCAAATTCATGTAGGTAATTTATTAAAGCGAGTTTTCTTGTCACGCGTGCGCATGCGTATGTGTATATGGATGAGTGGGTGTGGTGTGTTCCGAGGTATTTTGGGATTTCAAACAATTTGGGTAGGTGATATCTGCCTTGGTTGCCCGGATTACCAACCGATCTTGCCCTGGCCGGTCGATTCACACACACACACACACACACATACGCGCGCGCGCGCGTACACGAGATGCAATTCCGACCGCGCGACTTCCACGCGGTACATCTTGGGTAATGCTAACGCCGGCTATACTGAAATTTTGAAGTCTCATAACTCAGGAAGATCTCAACTAAAAAGGATATATAATCGGTGTTTTAAAAACACCTTGATGTCCGCAGCAAGAATATGCAATGAAAGATATGGGTTCCAATTTAAAAAATTCAAGTCGATCTTTATATGACCTTCACAACGCTATCCAAGGTTTATCGCATATGCCCATATAATATATTACTTGATTCCCAACAACTTTTGTTTGAAATATTTTTCAAAATAACTACTCCCCTTGTTTTTAAATGAGGTCTACGGATGGTCAAAAACACCTGCTATGTTTATATATATATATATATACACGGTGACCCATTTTAATCGACAAACGGAGATATCTCCGAAACTACGCAACCTACAAAAAAAATGTTCGGATAAAAGTTGTCGAGGACAGTGGGGGTCATCTACTTGTGCTAATGACCTTGACCTTGAGGTCAGTTTTCAAGGTCATTTCAAGGTCAAAGTCACTTTTTTAAACGAAACTCCCTATTTTTAATGCCGGATTCAGAAAGAGCGGGAAATTTTATATCCAGATATGTATCAAAGTAAAAGGTTAACGTGACCTCCATAGGTCAAATGAAGGTCAAGAAACCACCCCTACCAAACCCCAAGCAGGCTAAACCACCTAACTCTGAGAACAGCGAGTTTAATCGTTTCTTTTTCTTTAAATGGGTCACCGTGTATATATATATACACATATATATATATACATATATATATATATATATATATAT